CTGTCGTACTGGCCGAAATCAGGGACACCCATTTATGGCCGGGCTACACGAGAACAAGCCTCTTCTCTACAGTTTGTTGATCTCTGCTGCTGTCGTCTGCTCGCTAGCCGCTGGGATCCTGCCAGAACTAGCTACACACGTTGAGCTGATTACGCTCGAAGCTGAGGTTTGCTTTAGTCTTTGTCTGCGTTAATTTGATGCTTTTTGGTTTCGTGTTTGTGTTTGTTTGTTTGCTTGTTTGTTTGTTTGTTTGTTTGTTTGTTTGTTTGTTTGTGATCGTTTATTTGTTTGCCTGTCTATTTATGATTGGCTCTTTGGTTGTTTTTAGGCGGTGGTTCTTTGTATTTTTATTGATTTTGGTTTTTAAATAGTTATCTTCATATTTTCAGCGTCAATTGTAGTATCAATTTCTGTTTTTACTCTCACAACGTTTCCATTTTATTCTCCCACGAACAGTTCAGAAATTTGATCTTGCTCGTGCTATTTGGGAATTTCCTAGGCTCCTTCATTGTGGATAGGATCCTGCAGTTCATTCTCTGTAGAAATACATCTAGACCCTCTATATCCTAACCATATAACTAGATTCATAATATTATATATAATACATAATTATATATAACTATATAAATTTTATAGTTATATATATTACATATTTAATTGCAGTTTGTGTGTTCGTGTCCGTTTGTGTGTTTATCTGTCTGTCTTTATAGCTGTCTGTTTATTTGTCTTGCGTTGCGTGTGTGCGCGTGCATTAATTATGTTAATTTATTATAATTGTAATGGTTGTAATATGCCTACTTGAGTGTTTGCATGCAGTAATATTTATGGATTTACTTTTTAGGGAATTTATCTTGTTAAGGAATTTATTCATTTTTTGTTGATTGATGCTAATTGTGCTAATTAAATTCTTTGATAAATATGATTTTTGTCTATTTTATTATGGTTTATTTATTTATTCATTATGTTAAATTTTTATTATTATTCATTATTTTTATTATGGTTTATTTATTTATTCATTATGTCCTGATGGGACTGAATGAGGACATTGTGACATTGATAAGGAGATCGAGATTGCGGTGGTATGGACATGTGTTGAGAAGGGATGAAAGGGTCGGGATTAGGCGAGCGTTGGAGTTCGAGGTTGAAGGAGTGGTAGAAAGGGGTCGTCCGCGATTGGGATGGAGAGAGCAGGTGGAGAAGGACAGGGTGAAAGCGGGGTTGCGTGATACTGAGGCGAGTGACAGATGTGGATGGCGTCGAGGGGTATTTCGGTTTCATCATAGGTAGCCAAACGGCAACCCCCGATCTCGGGGAAAATGTCGTCTAAACGTGTGTTGTTGTTGTTGTTATTTATTCATTATGTTAGCAATAGTTGTTAGGTAAATAATTGTTAAAATTATTAGAAATTACTCAAAATATTAATTATGTATAATTCGATTAACCAGTTTGAGTAATGAAAAAATTCGTTTTGATGTGTGCGCGTGTGTGTATATGTGTGTGTGTGTGTGCGTGCGTGTATCTAGTCAAGCGCAATTTTGATTACTAATCGGGATATTGAGAATAACTTATTGGAAATGTTACAAACTAACGGATTGGTTTTGTTTGGTTCAATTATTCAGTCAGTATGACTAATTCTCTAAAGAGAAAGAGAAGAGGTCGTTGATGACTGATGTCAATGTTCCCATTCCGGTATCATCTGTTATGCCATCTATCTATTCCCTAACCTTTTTCTGGTTTCTCTTCAGCTTTAGGACTGTTTGTTGGTTAGATGAATCCGTCATTCAGAATTCTGCAAATATGTCTAAATGAGAAGTACTTACTTACACTTTTACGTGTTGATTTACAGTTTAAAATGTCGTTTTACGTGTTATCCCATAATTTTCAAGTCTGGATAAGGGATTGATTAAACGGTAAATAATAATGTCAGATAATTTTATACGTAACGCGTTTTTTAAAAAAAACACCCTATTTAAACAAACAACTGGTTGGAAATTTATGGAACTTGCATTGGTAGACACGTATGTCCTATATATGTGTAATATTGGATATGAGTTATAAAATAGTTTTGGGTCAGATAATATAGATAGACCATTTACAAATGTGTCAAATTTCTTGTTTAATTTATTAATTTAATTTATCCAATAAATAAAATAATATTAATGATATTTAGAAAATAAATTTACAAATAAGCGCCTTGTTATTAAGCTAAGGTACAATAGTTCAGACGGTTCAGACTTATGTAATGCATTCGGTTATATGTATGAATATATCATTGCTATACAGTACTTGCACACGCAAATATGCCTGGAGTTCATTTAATTCGACGTGTTTTCGGTTCAAATTCGCTAAAATTGGTTAGTGTCATTTCGATATTTCTTCATAAAATTGTTTATTTATATGTTATTAATTCATTTTTGTCAGTGAGGTTTGCGAAAGTTTAATTTTTGATGTGATTTTTGGTGAAAGTTTTGTTTGTTTAATGTTAATCGGCGTAGAACATAGAAGATCATAGAGGACTTTGTATTTTATTCAAATTAATGTGTGATAGTGTCTGTCTGCAGGCTTTTAATTATTTGTAATTAATTAAAACTATCCGTTAAATAAAAATATCATTGATATGAGATATAAATTCGTTTTTAATTGCATTAATTAATAATTATATTCAAACATTTTTTGTTGAAAATTACAAAAATGTTGTTTTGTTATTAAATAAAATATTTATTAAATAGGTAATTAATTTTTTTAAATGTTAATTTTCAATTTCAGAGTCACAGCATACACCTACAACAGAAATTCTATGCATCATCATGTTCCATTGTAAGAAATTTTTGCCATGAAATTATTATTTTTGAAATAATTAAATAATTTAATTATATTATATTAAATATTATAATTATTAATTATTATAAGCCCAATGTCAAACTATTCCTCAATGGGAGTTTCAAAGAGTCACAGTCCAAAAAATGGATTGATTTGCATAATCCAGTTAGTTTGATTTTATTTTATTGAATTTTTTATTTTTAGACAAAATTTTCGTTTTTATTCTGAAATTATTTTCATATTCTGAAGTTTGTGATTCGAAAAAATAATAATTTTAATGTTCAAAGTAAAAAAAGACACTAACTTTTTTCCAACTTCAAATAGTCATTTTTCACAAAAACTCAATCTTACCCATTTCAAACGTAATCACTTAATTAACGTTAATTCACTCAAACATCATTTACTTTATTTACTAATCGACTAATTTATCGATTAATTAGTTGATCAATTAACTGATTAACCAAAAATCTACAAAGGCAACGAACGAAGTTATATGCAGAGTGCCAGAATCAACGAATGACGAAATGCTGGATGCAGTGAAGTCATGTAAAGAGGCCTTTAAAACCTGGTCCAAGACGACCGTCATGAAAAGGCAAGAGTGCATGTTCAACCTGCAGCATCTTGTCAAGGCTAACATGGTATGTTATAATATAATAAAGCAACATATTTTTCAAGACTTCTGTAGTGACTGTGTTTGAATGCGAAAAGATTCTCTCACGCCACGTGTTTCCCCGTGTTGTGCTGCTGAATGAGTTGATTAAAATGTAATTTGAGAAAATTATTAATTTAAATTATTTTATAATTATAATGATAATAATTACTCCAATCAGGACAAACTTGCAGCCAACATTACACTGGAGCAAGGAAAAACGTTGGATGATGCCAGGGGAGATGTTATGAGAGGACTGCGTTCGTTTTTATTATAAATATAATAATAATTTCATAATTTTGTTGTTGTTCTAGCGTGCAATTTTTGATTAAACTAAAACCAATCAGATCATCTTCAATCAATCAACCGATCAATCAGTCGATCAACCAATCCAATAAAATCCAATAAAATCACTCAACCAGACCAGCCAGTCAACCAACTCCATTCAATTAACAAACTAATCAACCAAACTCCAGTCAAACGACAAATCAACCAACCAATCAAACGACCAACCGACCGACCAACCAATCAAACGACCAACCAACCAACCAATCAAACGACCGACCGACCAACCAATCAAACGACCAACCGACCGACCAATCAATAAAACGACCAATCCTTTACACTGATCCCTAATCAGAGGTGGTCGAACACTGCTGTAGCATCACATCCCTGATCTTGGGGGACTCCCTAATGAACATATCGTCTGCCATGGATACGATTAGTTACCGGGTACCGCTTGGTGTTACGGCCGGTATTACTCCGTTTAATTTTCCCGCCATGATACCTATGTGGGTTAGTTAACTTGTGTGTGTATGTGTGTGTATGTTTGTGTGTGTATGTTTGTGTGTGTGTGTGTGTGTGTGTATGTGTGTGTGTGTATGTTTGTGTGTGTGTGTGTGTGTGTGGTGTGTGTGTGTGTGTGTGTGTGTGTGTGTGTGTGTGTGTGTGTGTGTGTGCGTGCGTAGAAAAAGTACCTCTATGATATCTTGAATTCTAGATGCTCCTATACTAATTGTATCAAATAGTGAAATATTAATACCAAACAACGTTAACACAATACAACAAACAATACCTCACAAATACCCAAACTATCAGCAGCACACACGTTCAGACAATTTCCAGATGTTTCCAATGTCAATAGTGTGTTGGTATACAACCGGTATCAAATACTATCTAAAATACCGGACAATGTCAGAATAATAATTAATAATAATAATAATAAAATAATAATATAATAATAATAAACGACAGATTGTACCATGAAATAACAAAAAATACCACAAATTCTAGATGTTTCCAATGTCTATAGTCTGCGGGAACACGATGGTTATAAAGCCTTCAGAGCGAGATCCCGGTGCTACGATGTTGCTTATGGAACTATGCAACCAAGCGGGAATTCCACCAGGAGTTGTTAACGTCATACACGGAGCTAAAGATGGTTCGTGTCTGTGCATGTGTGTGTGTGTGTGTGTGTGTGTGTGTGTGTGTGTGTGTGTGTGTGTGTGTGTGTGTGTGTGTGTGTAGTGTGTGCGAGTTTGTCTGTCTGTGTGTGTTTTATTCATTTTCAATTATTTCATTTAGGTATTATTATTCATTTGTACGTATGTATATGTGTTTGTGAAGGCATTTATGTGTATGTGTGTGTGTGTGTTTCTTTGTTGGATCGGTTGAGTGTTGGATCTTCATTTTTATCATGCATCTCACATGTTGAATGTTGTTAACCATCGTACCGTACAACTTTATAATTCAGCTGTAAACTTCCTGTGTGACAATCCCGACATTAAATCTATCTCGTTCGTTGGATCTGATCAAGCCGTTAGTGTTTGCCTGTGCGTGTGTGCCTCTGTGCGTGTGTGTGTCTGTGTGTGTAATTATACAAATATCACTTGCAGGGTAAATACATATACGGGAGAGGGTCAGCCAATGGGAAGAAGGTGCAGTCGAACATGGTACTGTTGAGTTTACTTTCATTTTTGTTGTATTTTATTAATTATAATAAGAATAATGATTAACATTAATTCTCTCAATTATTTCTCAGACACACACAGTGCAAGTGATAGGTGTGGATCTGTTTGCTTTCGAACCCGGTAACTGCGACACCATTAACATCGTCTGGCCGCTCAGTAATTATAATAATCTCCGAACAATTTTAAGAAGACTTTATATGGTGTAGTGTATTCAACTATATTTAGTTGCGTCTGTTGTGCAGTCGCGTGTTTGCGTTTTTAAAAAAAAAACACCTCAAACTGGCAGGCGCTTATCTTATATAGCCAAACAAACTTCTTACCAACCGTTACGTCACTTTCGGATTGAATTTTGAAGCCGCTGTTGGCAGATGGCGTTTTACAAATTATAAAATATTTTGGAATAATTTAAAAATTATATCTTTTTGAGACATATCGTTGTAATAATTATCATTATTATGTCTGATAGTATTATTATTTTGATAAATATTTAAAATATTTATTCCCCGTAACTGTGTTATCATTCAAAACCCACTTTCCCTTTATGAAGGGCGCTAAAAATCACGGTGTGGTTCTACCGGACGCCAATAAGGAGGCCACACTGGCGGCGCTGACCGGGGCAGCTTTCGGGGCGGCGGGGCAGCGTTGCATGGCCCTCTCTACCGTCGTTTGGGTCGGTGAGTCGAAGAATTGGATTTCGGAGCTTATTGAGCGTGCCAAGAAGCTGAAAGTAAATGCTGGTTAGTTTTGTTTTGTACTCCGTTTTGTAAACGCTGGTACTCGTGTTTGTGTACTTGTTGGTACTTTTGTGTTCGCGAATGAAACTGCTGGTTGTGTTTTGTTTGGGTTTGCATTTTTTATGCACGTTTGTGCTGTGGGTTTACAGGCCGAGCGGTAAGTTGAGTTCTGGCTGTGGAATTTTAATAAGATATTTCCAACGAATATACGATGTGAATTATGTATATGAAGGATCATTTTAACATTTTAACAAATTTTTAAAAGAATTTTCACCATAAAACTAAACCCCACAAAACTTGAGGTCACGAAAAGGGGGCAGACTTGGGTCCTATGATCAGCCCCAAGGCTAAATCACGTGCCATCGACCTTATAAGTAGTGGCATCAAGGAGGGGGCCGAAGTTCTGTTGGACGGTAGGGACATCGTGGTGCCTGGGTACGAAAAGGGTAACTTTTTAGGACCAACTGTTTTGCATGGTGTTAAGGTTAGGAGGAGTTCTGTACATGACTGCTGATTTAGTTTAGCTTGTAGTGGCAGTAAAAGTTTAGAAAAATATTTGACTTTTTTCATTGCGTTTATTAAAATATATAATTAGTTTATGTTTTTTTATTTGTGTTTTATCAATATAACATCATGGTAACACATTATATTAATATTTTGACGTTTAAGTGCCACAGCAACTAGAAACCAGCACACAAAACATTATTAAATTAACCATTTTGAAATTAACCATTTTCATATTAACCATTTTGAAATTAATCATTTTAATATTAACCAATTTCAAATTAACCATTTTCAAATTAACCATTTTTAAATTAACCATTTTCAAATTAACCATATTCAAATTAACCATTCACTTCGCCGCCAGCCCACATTTGAATGTTACAAAGAGGAAATATTCGGACCGGTGTTGTGCAGCCTAGAGGCGGATACATTGGACGAGGCAATCAGCATCGTCAACTCCAATCCCTACGGAAATGGGACTGCCATCTTCACTACAAACGGAGCCGCCGCCAGAAGGTTTTCTGAGAATATTGATGTCGGCCAAGTATGTTTTTTATTATATTTTCCTAAATTTTTCAAATTTAAACGTGCTTTTACTATCAGTTTTAAATATGCAAACGTCGTTTTTTTCACCAAGTTCTCATTAAGTGACGTATTTAAATCTTTACTATATTTCAATTATTACGATTTTTAACAGTACTGGACAGTTGGCCTTGTTAGATGTTGAAATTGTGAGAAACTGCATGATTTCTGAGTTATTTTAAGTTAAATTGGTCAAAAGATTTTCTCTTTCTCCTTTTCAAATACACACACACACCGTCACCTACACACACGCACACACACACGCGCGCACACACGCATAGGTCGGAATCAACGTCCCAATCCCAGTTCCGCTTCCGATGTTTTCGTTCACCGGATCAAGAGGATCGTTCTGGGGGGACTCAAATTTCTACGGCAAACAAGTGATTTAAAATTATTCTCAGGGGAAATTTTTGAAATGTTTTGTCCGTCAAGATGGCGTGCGTAATTAATGAATCCTACTTAAAACATGTTATGCTATAAAGGTTACTCTCTCTCTTTTGCGTTAGCTTCAGAGGTTTCAACGACAAACACACACAGCGTATATGAATACGCGTGCAAATCACGCATCGTACACATTGCATATGATAGGCGGGGATCTCTTTGTATTCGAACCCAGTCATTGCAATAGCAAGACCAGGCGCCTTTAACCATTGAGCCATCACGCCGCCCCTATGTGTGTGTGATGTCTTAATTCATTCCTATTCACATGTTCTTTGAGTTTGTTTCTTTTGTTATAATTAGATATATTATAATGACGAAAATAACTTTAATCATTCATATTTTTAAACCTTTTTCCTTGAAAAACCGACCAGGGCATAAACTTTTACACTCAAATCAAGACCGTCATTCAACATTGGCGTTCGGAAGATGCAGTGGCCAGCCAGCAAACCTCACCCACCGTTATGCCTGTACAACGCTAATCAACCAATTCAATCATATCAGTTAATTGTGTCAATCAATCAATCAACCAATCAATCAACCAATCAATCAATCAATTAATCAATCAATCAATCAAATGTACGCATAATATTAATTCGAATGGACGATCTTTCTTTATTTTCTCTACAGTAGCATAATTCTGAAATCAGATAGGGCTTTTTTGATTGATTTGTTGGGAAGGAAAATATTAATAAAATATCATAATTTAATTTTCGGTCTTGTCTTTAATCAATTTTACTCGCATAGACGCACACACACACACATACATACACACACACATACATACACACACACACACACACATGATGCCCTCCATTTCAAATGGCGTCACAGACAATTCACTACATAGAAATATAATTTTTATAATATTTTCTACATAGAAATAGAATCGAGAGGATCTTATTTTTGAAAATTCCAACACCGTCTCGCTTGCATCGTATCCTTGGTTATATTTATTTAATTATGCATTCCACCACCAAAGGATTAGATTGGGATGATATAATTTTACACAACATGCATTAAACTACACTAGTGTGTGTGTGTCTGTGTTTGTGTCTTTGTCTGTGTTTGTGTCTTTGTCTGTGTTTGTGTCTTTGTCTGTGTCTGCGCGTGTGTCTATTTGTCTATGTATGTATGCGATACAAATATATAGTGCTTTCTGTTTAAATAAAAACATAATGTTTGTGGGTGTGTGTGTAATTGCATAAATTGTTTTTCATTGGAATAAAAAAAAGAGTTAAAATATAAAATTTGCCATATACGATCAGATGAATGTAGAGAAAAAATAGATAACTGCATATAAAAAGAAAAATAACCGTGGTCCAAAAAAATTGAAAAAATTATTTAACCAATTGAATTGATGTTAATTTTATTGTATGTAATGTCTTTTTGTTAACGAATTTGGTGTGTGTGTTGGAGAGAGAGAAAAAAAGGAAGAAAGCCAGAGAGAGAAAGAGAGAGAGAGTGTGTGTATTAGAGATGCACCGAATAGTGAATTAAGCGGAAGACCTAATAGTTGAACCGCTATTCAGCAGAATGCCAAAAAGTTTAAAAAAATTTTAGAGTGGAAACATTCCATTGAGTAAGAACAATAGTCTATTCATGTCTTACGGTTTCACCAACCATTTCTCATTCAGATTCACATATTTTAGCAGCTATGAGAGCCAAAAATTTTTTTTCTTGTTATAATCAGCAAATATTGTCTTATAATTCTCAAAAAATGATGTCTTAGATAAAAATTGCAACACTCGACTATTCTGTCAAGCCGGATATTCGATGCATTTCTAACCTGTATGTGTGTTTCTGTGTTTGTATGCGTGTGTATGTATGTATGAATGCATGTATATATATGAATAAACGATTGTATATATTTTATTATATATATTGGAATGAATGTATGTATGTGATTATCTATCTACGTATCTATGCATGCATGCATGTATCTACAAATGAATGTATCTATGTATATGTGTATATGTAGGTATGTACGTGTGTGTGTGTGTGTATGTATGTATGTGTATGTATGTATGTATGTATGCATGCATGCATGCATGTATGAATGAATGAATTTATGTATATAGTATATGCATTAAGTAGATTTGACAAGGGTTAGGAATTCCTCCCTGGTCTTGGGGTCCTCCCTAAAGACCCCCAACATCGTACTGGTGACAGTTTTGCTCTGTAACTTCTGAACTCCACGCATCACCATGCACATGTGTCTGGTGGTGGAAGAAGATGTTTTTGTGGTCATTAGTAGTAGTAGTTGTTGTTGTAGTAGTAGTAGTAGTAATAGTGTAGTATTAGTAATAGTAGTAGTAGTCGTAGTAGTAATAGTAGTAGAAGTAGTATTAGTTGTTGTAGTAGTAGAAGTAATAGTAGAAGTAATAGTAGTAGTAGTAGTATTAGTAGTAGTAGGAGTAATAATATTAATAGTAGTAGTAGTAGTAGTAGTAGTAGTAGTTTCGTAGTGAGAGTGTAAGTAGCAGTAGTGGTGTCTACTGGTTATAATACTGGTTCACATTTGGTTGTTTCAATAATTGTAGTACGATTGTATTGAAGTTATCAATAATAATATTAGTTTGTGGTATTAGTAGTAGCTACAAGTTGTAGTAGCTGTAGTAGAAGCAGTGTTAGTAGTAGCTGCAAATTGCAGTTGCAGTAGTAGAAGCAGTGTCAGTAGTAGCTGCAAGTTGTAGTAGCAGTGTTAGTAGTAGCTGCAAGTTGTAGTAATAATACTAATAATATTAATTAGTGGTTATAAATAGAACTAGTTGAAATAATATTAGCATAATAATAATGATAATTATTATTATTGTTATTGTAAATAAAAATGTTATAATTTTAATTATTAATTATAAATAAATATGCATAATTAGCTAACGTTGCTTCGATGATAACTCCGACACCAGTCGGTTGGATGGCTTCAAACAGGGCATGGGCTATCTGCTTTGATAGGCGCTCTTGAACTGTTATTATTAATATTATTATTATTATTAGTAGTAGTAGTAGTAGTAGCAGCCACAGCAGCAGCAGTAGTAGTAGTTGTAGTAGCAGTAGTTGTAGTAGTAGTCGTAGTAGTTGTTGTTGTTGCTCTAGTAAAAGTTGTAGTATAGTACTAGTAGTAGTGGTAGTGGTAGTAGTGGTAGTAGCAGTAGTAGTAGTAGTAGTAGTAGTAGTAGTAGTAGTAGTAGTAGTAGTAGTAGTAGTAGTAGTAGTAGTAGTAGTATTGGTATGGGACAACAAAATTAATAAGACTACCATCATTCGCAACATAACAACAACATCGCTATCATCATCGCCATCATCAACAACAACAACATCGTTATCCTCATCTTCATTATTATCATCAACAACAACAACAACATCATTATCATTAGCAGCAGCAACAACAAAACAACATCAACAACAACTTACGCTGTAAGCGACGACTGAATACCTCAACAATCCTGTCATAGTTTTCAAGTTTATTGATGTCATAATGGAATGAAGGACATTAATAAATATCAACACGCATACATACACACATACGCATATACATACAATACACACACACACACACAACACACACACATCTCGAAAAATTTTCCATTACTATTTTTTGAAAGAATGAACGAACGAATGAATGAACAAATGTAAAAATGAATGAGGAGATGAGTGACTGTTTGAATGAATGAAAAAATGAATAAATGAATGAAAAAATAAACCAATAGAGGAACAAACTGAACGACCAACGAGCAAATGAATGAACTGTTGAATTAATAAACGAATGAATGAATCATTGAATGAATAGATGGATTGATGAATGGATAGACGAATGAATGATTGAAAGAACGATCGAACGAACAAACAACATATGAATGAATAAAAGATATTCGGTCGTAAAAATCTAGATTACTCGGTACAAAATCAATAGATTGAAACCAATAACCAAATTTTTGAATTTACAATTTTTGTAACGCATGTCTCTCTTCTAGCGTTAAACAATGCCATTTATTCATTAATTCGTTAATTAATTAATTAATTAATTCATTCATTCATTCATTCATTCATTCATTCATTGTTATTTTCAAAAAAAATTTTCATTAATTTCCTATGAATATCACTAAATCAGAATTTATCATTTGAATTGAAACTTATTTTGACTAGAAGTAGTAGTAGTAATAGTAGAAGAAGTAGTAGTAGTAGTAGTAGTAGCAGCAGTAGTAACGGTAGAAGTAGTAGTAGTAGCAGTTGTAGTAGTAGCGGTAGCAGTAGTAATAGTAGACACAACAGTTACAAACACAGTCATTCATTCATTCATTCAGTCATTTGTTCATCTGATTTTTATTTATTTACAAAATTTCGTAAATTAAAATTGTTATTAGTAATATAGTAATACAGTTTCTTGTGTATGATTCAGATCCATTTATGAGACAACAACTGTGACTTCAATTCTAAACAACAACAAAACGACTACTACTTCTACTACTACTACTACTACTACTACTACTACTACTACAACTACAACAACAACTACAACTGCAACAACAACTACACCAACAACACCAACTACTACAACAACAACTACAACTGCAACAACACCACCACCAACAACAACAACGACGACGACGACAAATACAACAAAAACAAAAACAACAACTACTACTACAACTACTACTACTACTAATACTAATACTACTACAACAACAACTACTACTATTACTACTGCTACTACTGCTGTTGCTACTACAATAATAATAATAATAATAATAATAATAATAATAATAACGTGTGTTTCATTTTCAAATTGTAAACTGATGAATCATTATACAAGAACGAATGGAGGGACAAAAACAACGTAAATAATAATAACAATAATAATAATAATAATTTTCATAAATAAATTTCTACAACTATTACTAAAAATAATAAGAATAAAATAATAATAATAATAATTCTTATTATTATTAATATCATAAATGGACTAATGGTAATCAATCAAGCGAATATTCAAAACAATCCTCCAATTTCATTCGTTCATTCTTCTTTCTAACTTTCCATTCATTCATTCAACCAATCAATTCAATTCATTCACACGCACTATTCATTCATTCATCCATTCATTCACCTATCCACCCATTCATTCATCCACTCATTCATTCACTCATTCATCCACTCATTCATCCATATCCATCCATTCATACATTCATATGTCTATTCAATCCTTCCTTCCATCGTTAATTCACGCATTCATCCATATCCATCTATTTACACATTCACATTCATTCATTCATTCATTCTTTCATTCATTCATTCATTCATCACCACCATCATCACCAACCTAGCCAGTTTGCTTAATCCGATAACTTTCCCATTAGGAAGATAGCCAATGGAAACCTTTTTTTCGGAAAAATTTTAAATTTTCATAATTTATTATTATATATATTATTTATTACTATTTTTATTATTAATTATAATATATTATGATTATAATATGATTCAATTTGTAAAATAATAGAATCACACACGCCCAAACTAATTTAATGGATAAAATTTTAAAAAGATTTTTAAAATCGTACCGTAATAAGAAGTAGTGTAGAATTAATTGGTCAAATGATCTTGTGTGTGTGTGTGTGTGTGTGTGTTTGTGTGTGAATTAGTGTGTGTGGATTAGTGTGTGTGTGTGTGTGGATTAGTGTGCGGATTCAAAGGATTGTCGATGCCTTTAAAAAATACCAGAGAGAGAGAGAGAGAGAGAGAGAGAGAGAGAGAGAGAGAGAGAGAGAGAGAGAGAGAGAGAGAGAGTAAGAGAGAGAGAGAGAGAGAGAATTGTAAAATAATAATAACATAATAATAACAACAATAATAATAATAATAATAATTAAATAATAATAGTAATAATAATGAATGCTAGCCTTTCCGAAGAAGGGTACCATGTGGTGCTCGCACATGGAGAACATTTCAATATCCTTCACGATGACCATCTCGTCATGGTTCTCGTGAAAGATTGCGTCATTCAATACCTCTGCAATTGTTTTATTTCTAAAAAAATTATCACGATGAATATGATTGTCGTTGTTGTTATTGTCATTGTTGTTGTTGTTGTTGCTGTTGTTGTTGTTGCTGTTGTTTTTGTCGTTGTTTTTGTCGTTGTTGTTGTTGTTTCATTGCATTTATTATCAGCTAAAGGTTAAACTCATTCTATCAGTAGTAGTAACTGAAGTAGTGTTAGTAGTAGTAGTAGTAGTAGTAGTAGTAGTAGTAGTAGTAGTAGTAGTAGTAGTAGTAGTAGTAGAGGTAGTAGTAGTAGTAGTAGAAGTAGTAGTAGCAGTTGTAACAGCAGTAGTAGTTGTAGCAATAGCAGTAGTAGTAGTAGGTTTGGCTTTAGATAAAAAAAAAAAAAAAAAAAAAACCCATTCATCAAAACGACGAATCAATTCGAAACGAATGGAAAGTGACATTAAAAATATGAAATAAAAAAAAATAGCAGCAATAAATAGCAACCTTGTAATTCATTCATTACTTGATGTTTATTGTTTATTATTATTGGCGTCGCTGATGGCTCTCTCTCTCTTTCTCTCTCTCTCTCTCTCTCTCTCTCTTGTTTCATTTCGCTCTTTTCTCTCTCTCTCTCTTTCTATTGTTATTTATTATTATTTCTTATTCATCATTGACGTCACGTATTTATTATTTTTCTCTCTCCCTCTTTTCTTTCTCTCCCTTCCTCTTTCTCTCTCTCTCTCTCTCTCTCTCTCTCTCTCTCTCTCTCTCTCACTCTCTCTCTCTCTCTCTCTCTCTGTAGTAATTTTTTACTTCGTAATATTTTATTCTAACAAAAAAATCTATAGCAGAATTGGCTTATTTTTATTTTTTCCCTTAATTAAATGTTTTCTTTCAAACTAGGGCATTCGAGTCATACATTTATTATATGGAAAAATTACACATCAATTATAGAGGAATATTTTCAATGCTTTTAAAATTTCTATTGATTTATGTTAAACTAAAAAAAAGTATTTAGAAGGTGGTAGAAGCGAGAGTTAAAGAGACATTAAGAACCAACCTGATATCTTCTCGTCGTACCCCTTCGTGAAGTAGAGCATGGCCTTGGCGGCCCTTTCGGGGGTTTTGAGGAGCCCCTGGCGTTTGATATCCTCACCCACACTTGTTAGGATGCCTTTGTAACAGTTGGTCAGTTCGGCCAGGGAATCCGATTTAATCTCGGCTCGCTTGATTTCGTGCTTTCGAGGGCTCGGGCTAATGGCATCTCGAACGCGAAGGGAGTTGGAATAATCTATGTCTTCGTCGTCGTTGTAACCGATGTAGTGGCTGCTTTTGCTACTGCTGCCATTTTGAAGGTTGGTGTCGCTGGAATTGATGTTGCTGGAAGTTTTGTTGTTGTTGGAGTTAGTGTTATAGGCATTGTTAACTGGAAAGTTCAATTGTTTAAGATTTTGATGATTGTAGTTCACCACCAAACCATTCACACGCTGATGGCCTTCTTTGTGGTCAGCGTCCATTCGCAGAGTTTCGGCAGAATCCGGTGAAGTAGCGTTCGAAGCGACGAATTTTAGCTGTTGGAGAGTCTTCGATAGGATGTCGTCAGTGGTGTGACGAGAGTAGTTGGCGTCAGGGGATGGACTGAAGCTGCTGTTGCTATTGCCACTGATTGCCGGGCTGTTGTTGTGGTTCTTGTTGCTACTGTCGTCGTTGTCGCAAGTGGACGCGGGGGTTGGTGGTTGTAGTATGTGAAGTTGACCGTTCATCATTTGGATTGTTGTTCAAATATTTTTTTCTATATCTTACAGTTGGAAGTGGAAAAGATGTTTACCTGAATCTGAAATAATCAAATTATAAGGTTATTGCTTTTATTATTACGTATAGAACTATGAGAAGCAGCAGTAGTAGGAGTAGTAGCGGCAACAGCAGTTGTAGCGGTAGCAGCGATACTACTACTATTAATAGCAAAAGTAGTAGTAGAAGTAGTAATAGCAAGAGTGGTAGTATTTTTAATTTTAATATTATTTCCTTTTAATACAAAAAAAAAATCCCAAAAACAATTTTAAAAAAAACATAATACCTCTTAAAAGAAGAAACATATATTACTGGCGTTCAACTAACTGTACAACTTTAATTCATTTCAAAGGCACTACTTTTGTAACCAGCAACTGCTTATATAACTCATTACATAACGCCGTGTGATTGCGTGCATACACGCACACACGCACATGCACACGCACGCACGCACACACATACAAACAAACACACACGCATACACACATACACACACATACACACACATACACCCACACAAACACACACACATAAGCAACATTGCACGGACAGCAATAGCAACAACGACGATTAAGTTTTTTCCAGCTTATTTTAAACATGCTGCTATTTATAGGAACCGCTATCATTGCTATCTGCTGCGAGATTAAAACGTTGACGAGCATCGTATATTTGTCCGTGTCGGTCGGTTTTTTAGCCGCTGTCGGTTTGCTCGGTTATTCGGTCGAATTGTTTTCTTCGTCAGTGTCCATTTGTCTTTGTACACTCTTGTATGCATGTGTGTCTGTACGTGTGTGTTTGTATGTGTGTCTGTACGTGTGAATAAGTAAAATGTCGTTTCGTTTTGTTTGTATCTATAAATATTATGTTCGCTTGGCTAGTTTAGTGAGTTAAATTTTGATGATTCCAAATTCTCCTTCTTAGTGATGATTTTGTATGTCTGAATCAAATTTTTTCTTGTTCTTCTTCTTTCCAATGTTGTCAATCCACAAACATTTAACCTGTCTTCGTATGGCACACCGCGCGACACTCCTTCATCATTATCGTTGTCCTCTTTTGAATATTCTCGAGCTGTGTTTGTCCTTTTGTAAATCTGGATTGCAAAGCTGAACACAGAACTCCAGCTTAGGTCGAACAAATGCTTTACATAGGTTTGATATGACGATCATAACTCTGCTTTTTACTGTTCTTCCTATAATACGCGGAGTTCCGTCTGATCGACTCCTTATACTGCCGAACGTATCCAAAACCAATTTGTTCTCAGGAATCTTAAAAGCTTAAAAAATAATAAATAAATAAATAATAATAGTAAAAACAACAATAATGATGATAATAATAATAATAAAGTTATTTAGCGCAAAGTTAAAGCATCACATTAGCCGGCTTTTCACCGAAGATTCCATTCCAACGCAGTGCAAGTCGTCATGATGTCACGCCACGCCACGCCAATGCAATAACTCAAGTGCAAATATATTATGAATATTATATTATTTAAAAATATAAATTAGTATATTTATTATTTATTATTATTATTTCTATTTATTTGTTATAATTTTGTTACTCATATTATTCTTAGACAAAATCTTTATAGAGGATACAAAAAAATACTTTACAAGATGTTTATTTGTTTGTATGTGTTTAAGTGCGTGAGTGTGTGTGTTTGTGTATGTGTGTGTGCGTGTGTGTGTGTGCGCGCGTGTGTGTGTGTTTGTGCGCGCGTGTGTCAAATCATAAATGAAATATAGGACTAATGTGCACGATTTCAACAACACTGCTTATATAACTGTTCTAATGGTCTATTATAGCACAGTTTGTGTATACACTTTTGTTTGGTATGTGACGTGTATGTGTTTATGTGTGTGTGTGTGTGTGTGTGTGTAAGTGTGAGTATGTTGTACATTTAAGTGTGTATGTTTGTATGTATGTTTGTGTGTGAGTGTGAATGTGTGTATTAGTACGTGTAAGTGTGGATGTATGTGTGAGTGTGTGTGAGTGTGTATGTATGTGTGAGTGTGTATGTATGTGTGAATGTGTAT